TTGGCCACCTGCAGGGATTGTACATCCACCAATGAGAGCTCAATTAAAAATTGTGGGAAAGGCACTCAGCCACCTGGTCGCGAATTTTACTGTTTCAGACCGCCCAAGGGATAGAAAGCTCCGTTTCCTGTCCTACGACCACTAGACGCTAGGGTACAGGAAAAATCTCCGTGAAATCCACTACGGGTATCTCCATAAGGTCCCGAGAAGGATTAATGTTTTCCCGGTATAGTACCGTAGATGATAGGCCCACCACGTGTCGGATCTCACTAAAAGGTCCTCATGCATCAGCAAATCCTGTTAACCTGCCAAGCTAGAACTATAGTGTTCATGTGGGCTACGAGACATTGTGGATTGCAAGAGATTTTTTCGGCGTTGCGGTTATTATACGGCCATTCCCCGGTCGTGGCTCAATTATCGGACTCCCCTTGGATGCTTAGCCCGTTATTTTATCTTACCCTTTGATGTTCGTTATTTGCGGCACGAGCCGAGCGCCGCACGAAGGTGCTAGGTTGTCGCCGCACTGGTATCGTATCCCGTGACGGCATCTTAATCGGTAGAGACGGGTCGACCTCCCCTAAACCCGATTAAGCTTGAAAGAACAAAACCGATAGTACGAGCATAGTCGCACCCCGCTATCCCGGATGGTCAGATTTCACAGATTTTGTCAGGGACAACGGGCCGGAAGAAAGCCTGAGAGCGAGCACTATCTGAAGAAAAACAGAGGATGAGTACCCCTACCCTGAGGAGGCCTACTCTCAACAAATTGTCACAGGTGGCGTTAATGCTATTAGTTATCTAACTGGTGGTCTAGTAGACACAAAGGTTTTGGGTTTGAAGAACCGGTGAATTATCTATGGTCCACCAGGGTTCGCAAGTTTATCTTCAGTCCTGACTTTTCCTCCTCTTTTGGGCTAGCTTTTCAGCCAGTAGTCATAGTATCTGGTTCGGCGGGTTGGTTTTCTGTGGGAACGGGGGATGTGGTTTCCCGAAATGTCATAAGAATCCGGAAACCTCTTTTCGCGTTCGACGGGGTAATTTCAGCGAGGAATTAGAGGAGCTGAAGATTCTATTCGGTTCAGCGGGATCCGAGATAGGGGGGGCGCGGTTGTACGAGTTCTAGTACTTTACTGACTATAGTGAGATTTGCCGACTGAGGAAGTAATACCGCTGTACCTGTGCATGGTGTCCTTGGCTCCCCCGCCGCACCCGCGGTACCCAATCCTCTTTCGTTACTCGGAGTATATACACACCGCAAAAGTTAGGCATAAAGGGGCTTTCACAAGCCTCGTACAGTTCATGGAATCAGTTCAGGAAAATAAAATAGGTGTGAAGGAGCATGGTATTCGCTCTTGTACTAGCGTCTACTATTTAAATACACTAACTCCATCCTAGGGTATATAAGCTCCTGTATTGCGGGAAGGAGACTATGGGCTACCCCGCAACGCAAAGTGTGAGTGATGAGCCACGAATACAACTTATCAGCAAAGTACAGCAGAGGATCGCTTTTTCGCAAACAATATAAATATATGAATCAAATTGGATGGGATTTTTACTTTTAAACCTTCGCCCGGTTTCGTCTCACTAGACATATCAAGCGAAGTTTTTAATCCGATTTAATTAACCGGATCGAGGGCAAACCAGTCCCGTGCACCCCCCGTATAGTTTATTTTATCATATCATACTCCGGTATCCACTTTACCATGTGACTAGCAACCCCGCGGGGTAATTTGCCCCTCAGACTCATACTTTCTTTAATTGCACGCTAGTATTCTCGGGTCCCTGGTTCATAATTCTCTAATTATACTCCCCGAACTCTCTGCCAGTTATTTTCACCCCCAGTCAGCGGGAGGCTAACAGGCACTGGGTAGGGCTAGTGGATCCAATGAGTTGATGGCAAAATCTCAGAGAGTTGAATTGTGGGCGGTCAAGAATGTGCCATGGTGATTTGGGGAAGATGGGAAAAGAGTTAGGCTGTTATTGCACTGTACTTAGGCTTGCCCTAACTATGGGCAAGCACAAATGATGTGAGCTAGGACCCCCGACGACCGTGCTGGCATTGACCCTCACATCGCATATTTCTCATATCATTATGTAAGATCGGTGGTATGATACCTCTAATATCCCTACCGCTAGGCGCATGGTCTCTCATATTTATATTCAACCCATTCAATACTCTTGCTTAAAATTCCTTTGGCAAGGGCATCTACAATATGTGAAGTACGTAAACTAGATCATAATTTTGCCACGGTACCGCGAACTATGTAGGCCTAAACGGAATTGAACTTACGGCATGCTGGGTAAACAGTTATCGATTTTTAACGATCAAAAGTATCAACTGGTAGGCTCAAGTTGTAGAAAAAACTCGATTTGATGCTGCGAGATTACAGCTATGTGCATACTGGAAATTAAATGGAGAACAAAAGGAAGGAAGAGCTAGGAATGGTGATGTTCGGCAAGTTAGAGAGAAATAAAATGAAGCGAGCAGCCAAGAGAAAAAAAAGACCCGAAAACGACATAGTCTGTGGCAAAAATGGCACATGTCAGGGGCTGTCGGGTACAAGGAAACAAAAGGATGAGAAAGCACACCCGAATTGAGCTGCAAACGCGGGGAATCAAGGGTAGAAAAATAGGAGATAGGATCAAGATGAGCGAAAATATAGAGGAGAATATGAACGAAAGACTCTTCCAGACTTCAAGAAACACATAAGAAAATAACCCCGCTTGAGACCAGTGATCGTGACACCGGCAAACCTAATTCCCGTATTGTAGCCTAGCTTGGGGAATACCATGCTTATTCAACAAATGCGCCGGAAGGTTATCCGCTCGGTTAATCCCTTGGGCTCCAACGTGCACGCACCCTTCAACTGGGCAATCCACACGGTCATTGCCGTGCTTTGCGAGGTAGTGTTTGTTGAGGGCTTGCTTTGTCTTGAAGCTTCTGGGAAAGGCGCAATCTGGGGCTTTGCAGGTAAAGTTTCTCGGGGCGCAAGTGTGAGGGCCTCTATACGAGTGGGACAGTTTTTTTTATGTTAGTGTCATTGTTAGGCCGGAGTGTAGAGAGGGCTAAAGGGAAATTGCTCACCTGTTGCCGGAGCACTTGTGGAATTGGCAGAAGATGGGCAGGCGACTGGGACGGGCATTCCTGGGAAGATTCGGGGGAGCGACAGGGACCGCGATGTCGTCCCCCGGGCTTGCTCGGTTTATCCTGTCAGCTGCCCCATGATTATTGCCTGCACCACTCAATGGGCCAAGGACCGAGTGCCATCCATCCCTGTCAAGATGCAGCGGGAGATCACCCAGCCCTGCAGGAAAAGCTTGTGGGTTCCATTGGCTGTCGAAATCCGCGACGTATCGGCCTTCACAATCTGGCTTAGTCGGTCCCGCAACGCGAGGCTCCGGCCTAGTAGTCGTCAAAAAAAAACCCCCGGGTTGAGACTCACATTCTTTCCGTGTAACAGTAAGTTAAGGTGAGCAGCTAAAGTGCGAAAACCAAATAACAGACATACGCAAAATTTGGTAAAAGAGAAGAGGGGGGAGACGGTTGTATTTGAATTCAACTGAAGAAACTGAATTGCACTTCCGCTCATGTGTATGTTATCCCAATATATGCATGATCCTGAGATATTATGACTGTGGAACCTGACTGACCAATTGTATGTTATCAAAACGATCCTGAGACATAGATCCTTGTATGGTGCTTGAGTCCTAGGCCTGGCTCTCTCTCGGCCAATTAGCCAGGGCTTAGCCTCGTGGACTGCCAACTCAGCAGAGCTTGCTATTGTGACCGGTACTGGACCTTCAAATGGCCCAGTGGACATATGCCCCCCATTTTGGCTTCCCCCATACTCGAGTAAAGTTATGGTGTTGCAGGCGTGGTGTTCCGTTCTTCCTCTGGGGGCCTCTTAAGTTTTGTTTCCCGCCACGAAACCTAACCTGGATATGAACTCCATTGAAGGTGTGGGTAGCACTCTTTAGTAAGTTCAGTTTACGAGTACTACGAGTAGTACAGCCCTCTTTCACACTAAGTATATTATAAAGGGAATGGCCTATTCTGTATCGATCCACGTAGCCATCTCTCATCCACCCGACTCTTCCCAACACCAGCACCATCCCCTACGATACAAATTTTACTCTAAACCTTGCTAGATAACGCTGGTATTCGGAGATGAACCCCTGCCCTTCTCGATTCCTACCTTGCACCCAACTCTCGATACTAGGGGCGGCCAAACTTTGGATATCCACAGTGAACAAAAGGACTCCTTTCCCACATGCAAGGAAAACTTAAGTCACCACGATGGGCAGGTACAGTACTCAATAGTCTACTAGCAGAGTGGCGATACGCATCATTCGCCAGAAAGACCCGACATCCCCCGGAGTCCCGATTTTGGCAATCCACACTCGGGAGAGTGGGCAGTCAAATCATCCCTCGGCTTAATTCCCGGATCGCAAACGCAAAGGCGCACTACTCGAGTAGACTAGGAGGTTACACGAGGTCGCTAGGGTGCTTCACTCGGAATTACCGGCCGAACAATTGCTTTGCCCCAAGCGTCTTCTTCAAGCAACACGTGACTACCCAGGAATCTCGGGTATAGCCTGTACCGGGTATGAGTATCACGTGGCATAGTGGTGTACAAGGCCGAACACACACACGTTCCAGAGAACTCGGGGTAGTCGCTGTAGTATACATGTGCCCAGTAAAATTTCGCACGTAAGCGCCAGATCGAGAATTCCTATGCTTTCGCATTTGCCCGGAGTGGTTCAGGATTGGTTGGTAATGAGAGGCTGGTGCAAGTATCGCCCGGCCGGGGGCCCAGTAAAGGTCAGCCATTCTCTGGGACGTAGTGGGCTGTCTACCGTGATGTTCCTAGCAACGTCAGTAACTTTTAGCCATGTCAAAGGTCTGTATTTTAAGCACTTTTTATCTACTTTCACTTTTAGTCTGGATGTTGGTACTATAGCTTAAAGAAGAAATCATCCCCGCCTCAAACAATCCGGGACGGAGGTGAGGTGGAGGCTAATATCTTGGCTGGGGGATGGAGCGGGAGAGGGTCGGGAGAGATTCTTGCATTTAAGTTCTCTTAACGCGGGAGTCGCGGGAATTGAACTAGTCCCAAACCCCTTGGATATTGGTGGGGGGACCTAAACCTAGATCTGTTGAGTGGTGAAACCAAAATTTACACAGATTGGTTGTAAGAACAAGTCAGGCATGGGGAGGTGATATTTGCTGACGTAAAACTGTGTTCTTGAGGCTAGGCGCTGGGCTGCATGGAGAAAAGATGCTGGTTTCCAGAGAAGAATTGGTTGTTTTTCCTGAAATCGTGTAACTGCCTGTAACTTTGAAGAAGGATGAAGGCTGTCTGATTATATTGAAATCGGAAGTGATGAGGGCTTGTGCGTCGCACCCTTCCGCAGTGCATGAGTCTCCGTATTTGATCGCAGAGTATGATACACTAATAAAATTTCGCCTGATTCCCTGGAGTGCGATCTCATAATTGGCCATAATGTAAGATAATACCGCTGAATTTTTAGGTGCAATTTGTTGAGATGTAAAACTCTTACTCTCTTAACTACTCTTGTCACGGTGCTGCCTAACTTTTATGGTGCAAACTATGGTGAATTCGCCGGTTTCTGAACCAATTTTCAAACACTGAGAAAGTGTGATAGGAAAAGCTAGCTACAGTATAAAGGAAACCTAATAGAATAAGGAAACAACAATGCCTGAAGAGAATATGGCTGGACAGCAGCCATCCTGACAGTCCCGAGATTCCACTGCCGGAGGCTTTGGTAAGGTTGTCGCTGCCCTTGCCAGGGGAGATCGTTACCACCGATGTGTCCCTAGGTGGCAATGGGGGCGCCTGGTGTTTGTCAGTGGGCGGCGGGTGGGCGATGCAAAAACGCGAGCAGTCAATAAAGAACGCGAACTGTAGGAAGGATGAGGGTGTCGATGTCTACCAGCGTGGCAGCCGGTGTTCTAGTAGGGGTCCACGGACCCAGTCCCCTAGAGCTATGACCCCGCAATGGCCCGGCAACCGGAAATACCTTTTTCCGCCGACCTCCGAGACACTGCTCTCTTCATCCGAACTAAATCCTGTGTGCTTTGCCCAATTGGCAATAGGTTGTACCAACCTACCATTTTACTGGTTTGCGGTAAAGTCTAGGCAAATACTAGAGAACTCAGATATCACCCTGGTATGCGTTTTTTACTATACGGACCCAAAGAAGTAACTATTCGGTATAAATAGAGCTCTAGCTAAAGCTATTTATCAGGGTTTGCCAAATTTTGGTTAGTGGCCTTCCTAGCTTGGCCCCCTGCCGTATCTGAGATAAGGCCTGGCCCACATGATACCTGGTTACCATATCGTTGCTATCTCATAACCCATCCCCAGCATGTTAAGTGGCCCCTATCCCCTACCGCCATGCTCACATTTTCTTGTCTGTATCTAGCAGAACCAACGGGGGAAGCGGGGGTGTCATTGTCATTCAAGTAAGTTACGGGGGTGTTGTGGGTGGATTTTTTTGTTCTGGAGGCGTCGCGGTTCAAGGAGCATTCTCTAGACATGCAGTTCCTTCGCTATCATGAGAGTGCGTAAGGGAATGGGAGAATCCGTAGAGGGGCCAGGTTGCTCTATTATATCTTATATCTACTCTTGTCGTTACTGCTGGTTTACTGAACGCCAAACAGGATAGAGATGCTTGTGGGTATACCACTAGCACTCCTACCACTGCCCCCCAATGGTTAATAGGTATCTACTCCCACTCACTTTAACGCTGTTCTATTTGTCAATGTCGGAAATACCGAGATGCTGCTCGGCATGCTCGCTTTCCTCCTCCCCTCGTTCCCCTTCCATTCCCCCATTCCCCCATCCCCCCCTTTCTCCCGTTTCCCCTTTCCCGCATGGTTTCCTTATTTGTTTGTATTGATTGATGGTCTGGCTGACAGGGAAGTGCTGCGGGAGCGCTACGGGAATGCGCACGGCGGAGCGCAGGGAACGAAGGCACCGGAGGAGCACACCGAAGGAAAGCCCTGGGAGGAGGGGGGGGGGGGGGGCAGAGCATGGAGTTTGTCTGTTTGCATGTTAGTTTTCTTTCCCTTTGTTAGTTTGGTCAGTTTTGGGATCGTGCTTCACCTGGTTTGTTTAGGCGTTCCTAGGAAAGCACTTCGGCCAAGGAAGTGTGCAGAGGATCGGAAGGACGGCACAGGATGAAAGCCCTGGCAGAAGGAATACGCGGAGGCTATGCGCGGTGGAAGTTTGTCTGTTTCTCTTTTGTTAGCACAGGAGTCTTAGAAAGGAGAGTGGGAAAGCTGCAGGGAAAGTGGAAAGGTGCGATAGAATACGGAATGCTGAATAGCAATGTCCGGAGGCTATGAAGTTTGTCTTTTCTTTCGTTAGCTTGTTTGTTCACTAGCGAGATGGGAGACTTGCCAATGGGCGGGGGGCGCAGAACTTGGTTTGCGGTTTGTCGTTTGGGTTGTATCGTTGTTGTGATTTATACTCCTGTCTTTTCCGTCAGTAGATGTTGGTTAGATGAGTACGCGATAGTTAGGGAGAGAGTGTATGTCGGTGTATGCGAGTGGTGAGAGAAGTGAAAAGTTTTCCCCGCTCCTAGTTGTGCAATCGTTTCTTTAGTCAGTGCATGGCGTTTGTTGTGGATCACAGCTAGTCACTCGTTTGTTTTACGGTGGCTGCAATCACGACTTCTAATAGCCAAGAATGTCAATCATGTTCATTAAGCTCTTTCTGAATCTTAATCTTAATCTGATTTCGTGGGCCATACCTGAAATGAATGAAATGCCAGAAAAGGGGTCTTTGCTTGGCGTAGACACAGCGAACTATATCTATACTCACGGAATTGAATTTGCAGTAATCAGGATAACAGTTGTCACTCCTTTATTGTTAAATGCACAAATAATTACGCCAAAGCTGCGAGAGTGAATGCTTAATTGTATACTATGCTTGTGGCTAGTTGTATACAGGGGAACAAAAAGGATAAAAGAGAGTAAGAGCCAAGATTTGTGATCGGGGGGTGGTGGGAGAGGGGCAGGCTAGGGGAAGAATGAGGGAAAACAGAAAGGTAGTGTATGATCTCACCACAGAATAGAGAAATGTTGGGGGATACCAGATATCGGATGA